TTGGAATGAATGTATGTTAGGTCGTTGATGTACTTAATCCTCTAGCTCGTGAGTACAAGTCCATCGGTACTGTGAAGAGAGAATTAGCTGGACTGCAGGAAGAACTAGCAAAGGCGCACCAACAGGTTCTCAATATTCTATCCTCGGAGAATGATTAGGTTTTTTTAATTAGTGGCCTTAGTCAAGCTTCTTCTAACTCTTTGTCCAAACAAAACAGGTTCATATATCTGAAGCAAGGGTTTCAACTGCTTTAGACAAATTAGCTCACATGGAAGAATTGGTTAATGATAGATTGTTACCTAGTAAAGTTGGAACGGAAGCAGATAGACCCTCCTCTTCAACCACTGCTTCTTCTGTCCAGTTAGACCGGGAAAAGACCGACAGGGAAAAGACAACCTTGGGTGCAAAAACCTTGGATGTTTCTGGGCCGGTTAAGCCTTATCATCCAGGCTTGAAGAATTTTTGGTATCCCGTTGCTTTTACTGCAGATCTCAAGAGTGATACGATGGTATGTATAGCAATTCTTACTTGATTTGTCTGTCTCTCTTTATTTACAAGCTTCTGAGAAATCCTATTTATTTATGTCTTAAGGTGCCAATTGAGTGCTTTGAGGAACCATGGGTTATCTTTAGGGGAGAAGATGGAAAACCGGGATGCGTACAGAACACGTGTGCGCATAGAGCGTGTCCTCTTCATCTTGGCTCGGTGAACGAGGGGCGTATCCAATGTCCTTACCATGGTTAGTAGTTTATTCTCTGCACTTGTTAATACAAGTGAAAACCATATCCAATATCTTACCAAAGTGTGGGCTTCTAGGATGGGAATACTCAACGGATGGGAACTGTAAAAAGATGCCATCTACGCGGTTGCTGAAAGTGAAGATAAAGTCACTGCCTTGTCTTGAAAAAGAGGGCATGATCTGGGTCTGGCCTGGTGATGATCCACCTTCACCTACACTCCCTTCTTTACAACCTCCATCAGGGTTTGTAATCCACGCCGAGGTAATTCATTTGTTTCAAGCATATCTCCAATCCAGTCATCTCATATGAATGCAGCATTTTCTCATGCTATTATTTGACGAAATCGCAGATTGTAATGGAACTCCCCGTGGAACATGGTTTGCTTCTAGATAATCTCTTGGATCTTGCGCATGCCCCATTCACTCACACATCCACGTTTGCAAAAGGCTGGAGTGTCCCAAGGTTTGTTATAATCTCATAACTCTGTTCAGTGTTAAGATGAATCTGTTTAGCTGTTCTGGTCTTAAGACTCTTCTCTGCTCCTTGCAGCTTGGTGAAGTTCTTAACGCCTGCCTCGGGTCTACAAGGATACTGGGATCCGTATCCAATCGATATGGAATTTAAACCACCTTGCATTGTGCTATCGACTATCGGGATCTCCAAACCTGGAAAACTAGAAGGAAAGAGCACTAAGCAGTGCGCGACACATCTTCATCAACTCCATGTCTGTTTACCTTCTTCCAGAAACAAGACAAGACTACTGTACCGGATGTCACTAGACTTTGCTCCAATTTTAAAGAATGTTCCTTTCATGCAACATCTATGGAGACATTTCGCTGAACAGGTAAGTAAAGAAACAGTGAATCAACCATCTCGAAACCATCTCAATCTTGTTTTTTAGTGATCTAGAATACGGTTTCTCTGTTTCCAGGTCCTAAACGAAGATCTGCGGCTGGTTTTAGGACAGCAAGAAAGGATGTTGAATGGTGCAAACATATGGAACTTACCGGTTGCTTATGACAAGCTCGGAGTTCGGTATAGACTATGGAGGAGCGCGATAGATCGTGGCGATGATAAATTACCCTTCTCTAATTAACTATTGTCAAAGAAATCTAATGTGGAAGTTTTAGCTGCCTCACTCACCAGCAACCTCGCCGAAAAGCTGAGGTTGTTTGTTATCTGGATCGTCCTCGCCGCAGAGAAGCCTGGCCGAGCAACGATCTGGGGTTGGTGAAGACGATGAAACAGACTTTTGCGTAGATAAGAAAAAAAACATCCGTTGTAAATCCAAAAGGAGATATATTGTTACACCACTTAGTTATTCAATTTTCCTGTGTACAGTTCATTCACGAAGAGAAATTGAATATCAGATGTCTGTAACAAGAGCGAAAACTACATACAATAAAATTAGATTTCATTACAAACATCTTACGTGGGATAAGGACAAGAAGATTGAGAGTGAGCAAATTTCACAAAGCACAGCCACAAAAGGGGCAGAAACGGAACTCAGGCTCGACGATTCGATCGCAGAAGCGGCACGTGGCTAGAGCAACCGGCGATGTTGGTGGTGGTGACAGAGACTGAGGGAAAAACAAATCGCAGTCTTTACAATACATGAGTTGGTGCTTCCCGGGCCATCTCCAGACAGGAACGAAGAACAGCTTCAAGACTTTGTCGTAATCGACTAAGTCGGCTTCAGAACCGCATCTTATGCATTTCCCGGCGCCGGATTTAAGTACCTGCCTCACCTGTTGACCTAATCCACCAGCGAAGAAGAAGAACATTTCGTTTGTTTCTTGGAGGTTTCTACTCTCCTTGTGTAATCTTGTCAAGGGTTCGCCAAAATCTCGGTTTAAGATTACGAGTATCATTTATCGAGTTATTTCGGCCAAGGACACGAAGTGTCACACGATATATGTAAATGCGATGATGCCTTGTTCTAGTGGTTTCTAGTAGGGCCTTTCTAGCAATTGTAAGAACAAAAAGTTCTGTTTTTTTCTCTCTCGCCATCATTTGTCGAAATAGATCCAACAGATAATTATAAATTATACATTATTTTGACCAACAAAAAAAATATAAATTATGCATTACAATGGGAAAATTGGCCAGAAAAAAAAAAAAAAAATTATAATTTCAAACCTAACAAAAAGCCCTAGATATAAAGGTCAAGATTTTGTCACATACCCCTTTTTTCTAATTTTTTAATTTTTTTTTAAACTATCGTGTTAGTTTAAAAAAAAAATATATATCGTGTTAGTTATGTAACATTTTCTATGGCAACG